CCGCCCCGTGGTTGTTCTGCTCTTGGCACAGCACTGCTTCCAGATTGCTCCTCAGGGCATTCACGGCGGCTTCGTTCGTCTGTGCCATGTCGCGCCATAACTGATTCTCTATACACAACGATTTCACTCTTTCTTCTAGCGCCCAATTCAACTTCCCCATCTTCTCGATCTCTTCCTCCTTCGCTTTCAGCCTCTTCATCACGCCCACTTCGATCGCCTCTATTATCCTCCTCGCTTGCCTCTTCCTTCTTTCCTCTACTTCCGACCTCACCTTCTCCAACTGTTGGATTACGATCAGAATCGGATCAATACAAAATCAATCTAAAACGGGGAAGGAACGACTTGAATAATCACAATTGAACAAAAACAGAGACGATTGATTTGGATTGCTTACGTGTTGGGAAATGAGGCGGTCGATGTCGAGTTGCTGGTGGTGGATCTGGAGAGAGATGTCTTCTCCAAGAAAGGAGAAAGATCCGCAAGAAGACTTGGAAGTTGGGGGACAGGGGTAGGAGACGTACGGATTCATACATTCTCTAGAGCGCTTTCTTGGCAGGGGAAGGTGATAAGTAAGGCCGCTATCGGACTTCATTGCGACGGAGGCCGTCTTGGGGGAAACCGAATCCACGATTACAGAATTGTAAGCCGGAAGGAGAGTCTCGGCGGTGGTAGTTCCCGATAATGGCACTCCGTATCCCATATGAGCGTTGTACATACTCAACGTTTCATCTCCCATTCCTTCAATGGGATTCACGAATTCTCTGTAAACCCACAACCCCCGCCCATTAGATTGATCAGAACCAAACTCACAACGAATATAAAGACGTTCTTCCAGAAAAACAGAAAACGGGAAAGACTGAAGATGAACATATATGCATACCTGTTTCCTCCTATTAGTTGAGGATGGAAGAGATTGAGATGGCGAGCTTCAACAGCCATGAGAGAGTAGTAAATAAAGAATCTCTTAGTTCTTCTCCTGATATTTTCTCTTTGCAAATCTCTGGTTGCTATATGGGTATCGCAGAGGGGCAATCTTCGATTCTTATCCTCCTATGAATGTTGGTGGGAGTTAGAGAGAGAGAGAGAGAGGAGGAAAATGGGAGGGGACATGCAAATGCAATCAAGGGAAGCAAGGCGTATGGTGGGGTTTATTTAGGGGTTGCCTTGTTTAGAAAAAGTAATATTGAAATATAAATAAAAACTAGACAGCGATATATATTATTATATGATAAAAAGAAATAATTAATTTTTGCATTTGCTGTGTTTTTTGGAGTTGTCTATTTTTGGATTCGGTTAGCAGAACGAGGTTGGGTTCCGTTTTGACTCTTCTACCTGCTTGAGAAACGGAAAAGGAGTGAGGGGGCGCGAACGTGATTTAGTGGAATTATGGAGGGCATTTCCGTGATTTCAGGCATGGGGTTATCTTGATTCTTGATTCTTAATCCTGCTTCGTAGGTAACTTAAGAGGGGGGAGGGAATAGGGGGATAAGTGGGGAGGTTGTTTGTTTGTTTGTCTGTTTTAAATAACTGACAAGGCAGGAATATGCCACGTAGCAAATGGACAGTGGGGCTGGAGAGTAGGCCGCCACGTAGGCCCAGCTAAACTACAAAACACCTTTACTCCTTCCTTCCCTCCGTCCGGCATCCACGGCTGGGGTGTGGGCTCCACGTTCTTTTATTTTACTTTTTTATTTTGGGGAAGCGGGGCCCACGCCACAGACAAGACTTGGGGTAAATGGGGGAGAGGAAACAAAGTGATTATTCTGCCACGTGTGAAGTGCCAGCGTAGCAGTGGGACCCACATGAGGGGTCGGGTCAGTGGCCGTTGGGGGAGTACGGTACCCGGGTGGTGTTTTGGCAGGTTCTTTAAGTTTGGTTTGGCGGACAGTGTGATTCAACATTCATGAATCATGCTTCTCCCATGGGGAACCCTTCCCTTCTACTTCTCTCACTTATTTAAGTTATTTTCCTCCCGCCACGTCACCGCGCCTGGATCGAATTCCCTGTCTGCCACTCCACACCCTCTCTCCTGCACCCCCATATTATGGACGCCCACGATTCATTCTCACTTGCGCCATCGTTCATCGTCTGTAATTTTAAATTTCTCGATTTTGTGTTTACTTTTATTAGACTTTGTAATTAGTATCTTGAGTCACTTGCATAGATACTTTCATTGTGTAACTAACTTTATTGATAGACCTTATTTCATTAATAATATTATGCACCTTTCAAGTTACTCCCCCATCTCAATATACTTTTTATCAACTATCCTGACGTCATAGAATTGTGGTTGAAAAATAGTTTACAAAATTTATAGTTAGGTAAGATGTACATTTATTTTAAGTGCCTTAATCATAAGAACTCCAAAGTTAACCCAAGTTTCAGGAGATGTATGGAAATATCGTTGTAAATAGGTATCGAATCCAAATTATGAATACTGCCCCCGTGGTGTTACAAAATATCTATAAAAATTTATCTTTTATTTGTCCACCGTAAACTATAATATACCCCAACTAACCAATAGATAGAAAATATATAGTCATATATTGGTTGGTTTGGTGTATTAAAGTAGTGTTTAACCTTTTAAATTAAAAAGTGTACGGTAAATACAGTTCACATATCCAACTAATATGATAGTGTGAAGGGTTATAGGCAAAGATTGGGTAAATTATAGAGATTAAAATGAAATTTGAAGTTAACCAAAAGGATGATTGAAATTTGGAATTTAGTATTTGTTTACTCTGCCATCTCGGTCTTGTGTTTGCTTAATTAAATTTGTTGGGTAACGACAATAGATGGTGGCATCAACCTATGGCATGCGATGGCAGCAGCAGGTTTCTAAGAAGCAACCAAATCTCCATTTCATTCATTATCTTTGAAATTTCCCCAAGGCTTTTTTATATATAAAATATGGAAAATGCAGAACTGAACAACTCAACCGACTCATAATATAATTTCATAAAATTGGTAGTTTCGAGGCAAGTCTATGCAGATGCAGGGTATATTTAATGTACATATATTCAGAATTGACAAACGCCGACTGAAAATTTCTATTAAATCCCACAGAACCAGCATCCCGCCTCCCTCGCACAGCTAATTTTGTAAATCCTGTCCCCATTTCTCTTTCTATAATCATTAATTTTTTAATTATGCTCTGGGTATGGTAATGGGATGTTTTATTTCCACAGCCTCTAAGACACAGGCTTTTTTTTTTAAATATATTTTAAAAATTATATATATATATATATTAGTATAATATAGTTTGGAATTGGAACTATATTATTTCAAGGAGTAAAAAGGGGAAAAAAACTAGAAATGAGTAACAAAATGTAACGTAGCGTCATATTTATTTACAAGGGTACAAAATTTAAGTCCTCTCCCTATCTCTACCTATATTCGGTTGCGATACTAAATTTTTACTTCTAAACAAAATGGGCCCCACAAACCCACCGCTATCTACAAAACTACTTCCCTTTATTACCGTTTGGATTTACAATTATAAACATTCCACCCTGGGGTGAATTTTTATAGACATTAACCTATTACCAACTATTTGCAGAAAGTTAAAATAAAAAAACAAAAAATCATAATCTAGATGAATTTATTATTAATCTTTTTAGTAAAATAATCTAGATTCATTTCAAGTATGAAGAAAAACCACATTTTTTAATGAAATTTTTAATTTATGTTAAGTGGTGTATTTCTCTCTCTCTCTCTCTCTCTCTCTCTCTCTCTCTCTCTCTCTCTCTCTCTCTCTCTTTTCTGTTTTAGATTCAGCTAAAAATAAAGGTAATTAAATTATGTTATGTTAAATTAAACATCCATTCAAAATATCAATAAAATATTTTTCATAATGTCGTTTACCATGGTCTTACCGGAAAGAATTAAATAACATTTTATTATTTTTTTTAGTATAATAAATCGGGGTCGTCGGAGATTTATACCTCAAGAAAAAAGAATAATATATAAAAAAGGAAGAAAATGGTAAAAAAGAGAACATATATGTGTTAGGAAAAGATGTATTTGTTTAATACTATTTTAACATTATTCGCTATGAAAGTTGGCGACTTAAAAAGTTGGCCAACGTATTCACGAGATTGCTCGGAGTCATAGGATATGTATAAATAATATAAAACTTCAATCTCAATAATTAATTTAAAAGAACAAAACTCTGGCCTTCCTATGCTTTGTTCTGTCCATAATGGCTACATCATCTTTTTTGGTGTTAAAATAAGAGACTGGGAACATGAACCGAAGCAAAGTTTAAAAGTTTAAGCCACAAATATGTATAATTAATTGAGAATATAAAATAAAGTGGAAAAGTACATCATTCGACATTGTGTACTACACCACCATATACACTAACCCGACTTTATTGTAAATCTTGAATAAAGCAGAGGAAAAAGTAGGGGTTGGACCGAATAATAACGAAGCATTTTCTTTTTCTTCTTTTTTTCTCTCTCTCTCTCTCTCTCTCTCTGTTTGGGTGTTGCTGTAGCTCCATTATTACCCCAACTCACACCTTACTTTGTCAATAAAGAAAACAAAAAAATGCCTTCCTTGGCCAATGAAAACAAAAACAGGACATCATAAAACGCCATTCAAAAGTTGAAAAGAAAAACATATCAAAAAGGAGATTTCGGTATTGCTATTATTTCATGTGGGGGTTGAGTCACTCGCAACCCAATGTCACGATTATTAATTTTTTTTTTTAATTTTAATTTTTCTCTCTTTTGGGATGGGGTGAAATAATTAATAATTAGAAAGGAAAAAAGAAAAAAGAAAAAAAGAAAAAAAGAAAGGAGATTGGGAAAATGGTGGTGGGATTTTAATATAAAAGGGGAAAGATTTGATGAGAGAATCGTGTGTTTGGGTGTCGTGTTTGTTCGTGGTTTCCCAGGCCTTTTAATGCCCAACTTGTAATTTTTTCAATGGACATGGGTTTTAGTTTATTTCTCATCAAATTCAGTTATGTTTAAAGTATCTAATACATCTTTAGACTTTTAATTTTATGTTTAATAAATCTCATATACTTTTTAAATTATGTCTATTTGGAAAAAAAAATATATATATATAGTTGATAGACTTCCAACATTATTGTCTAATTGGTTTATACCACCTTGGGTGGAGCTCTAAAATCTTAATTATATAAGGAGTAATTTAGAGGAAACCTTTAAATCTTAATAATTTTTCTAATAAGAGATGAAGCAAAAGTCCACATTTCTTTCCCTTCTTGTATGGTTTGTCGCTAATTATTATGTACTAATTAGTTATTATTTAATGATTCACGTGCGGAATTGATTTTAAACCTGGTAGATTACGTCAAGTGAATAAATTAATAACAAAATATTTATCAGACGTAAAATATAAAATTTAATTTTTTTTTTTTTTTTATAAACTTAAGTAGTAGTGTAAAGAGTGGTTAGAAACTTGTTAAATAGTTGCTGGAAAACAATCTAAAAAGTTAATTGACCGTAAGTTTAGAATTAATTGTTGAACGACAAATTATAGTATTAAATGTTAATAATATATGATGTGTTTGAGGGCGAAATGGTGGGTGGGATAGGGATAGGGATATAATGGAGATGGAGGGATTGGGTTATATTCGAAATGTGATATTGTAATCTAAATTACTTTCGAGTAGAGATATAATATAAATAAAAATAAAATTGAGGATTGGATTTGTTTTGTGTATGGGAATCTCATTCATCCACTCCACAAACATATAAAAAAACAACCTTCGGCTTTGAATATGTCCGACTTCACTGGTCTCTGTCAACTGTCATTATTTTGATTTCTAAAGAAAAATAAATATATTCATTTAATTTACGTATTAATAATATATTGTGGATGGAGCCCATCATTGTTTGATTTTTCTTGTATTGGAAACATACATATACACGCTATTCCTATACCTTACTTATCTCTCTCAACTCTCACCTCCCAACTCTTAAATAAATAAATATATTTTTATTTATATTTTGTTGTTGTTGTTAGCTTTTCTTGTGCAAGTGCTATAATAACCCATTTTTGACCGTTTGCTCTCTTTGATCAATCTCAATCTGACTGTGGATGTGGATGGTCCCCTCATTTCAATGTCCATAATCCATATAATGTCAGTCAGGACTCGAAATTCCCTCCTCCATCACCATCGCATCCTCTTCCTCTTCAATTATATGTCCTTTTTCCTTTCAACCATTCCCTTCCACCGACTCCCATTTTTCTACTCTTTTCTTTGCTTGCTTATGCTATTATGCACTTTATATTGATTTATTATGCAATAATAAATCAAAAATTAACCCTAAACCACTTTTAACTCTCAACATTATCAACTCATTATTATTATTATTTCCTTAACTCAACCCCCCTGGCCCCACTTATCAGATTCAAATCATCCCATTAATGTCATCCCCACCTCACCAACTCCATCTTTTTTTTCTTTTTACTTTCTTTTCTCCTTTCCCTTCTTTATTAATTCAGTTCTGATTTCTCTGTTTCCTTTTTACATATTTCAAAATTCAAAGTTGGACGGCTACGGTGCCCCCCAGGCCCCAATTACCATTTTTATTTTTTACTCACTTTATCCATACCTCAACATATGCTTCTCTGACCTTCTTCCTCTTGCCCTTTTGACCATAACTAATTAGTCGGGTTGTTTTTGTTTTTATTAGGAAAAAAAAAAGGGAAAAAGATATATTTATCTATCAGCTCTGGAAACTGCTTCGAGTTCGTAAATTTGTGTCACCTTCTTCTTAAGATTAATAAAAGAAGAAACGGAGGAGATAAGTTTTCGAAACTACGGTATTTTATTCAAACTTCAGATAAGTAACGACTCGGGCAAAGAAAAAACGGGAATTGATGTTTTAGTTCGTGCGCATGGGCCTGGGCCAATACTTTACACTAGCCCTTGGGCTCAGCCTGTGAAGCATATCGGGCTTTTAACTTGGGCCGGAAACCCAAACCCGTTGCCTCCATATAATGCGTGAGGCCGATATCCACCCGCTGGATTCTGGAACATAGCTCCATCCATTTGACCGGCAATACAAAGCAGTGAAACGCTGACCAAAATCTCCAGCCAATGGCAGGTGCACACGTCATACGCGCCCGAGAAAAGGCTTCTGGAAACTTTATGAAACCGCGTGTTCGTATGGAACTTTGCTTAGCGATGTAAAATTGTTTGTTGATGAATGACTCATACCATATATAGGTGACACGACCGACCTTTGGCCGACTCCAATTTCCATGCAACTTCTCTTTTCATATGCAAAATGTAAATATAAATTGCAAACGCCATGGTTTCTCCCAACATTCATAAACTCGATCGACTCATATTAATTCCTTTCCTCCCGCCTTAATCGTTTCTTCGAAATTCTTACTTTCTTACGGTCGAAGATTTCGGTTGTTGCTTTGCTTTTGCCGTCATGAGCCAATATCGCCCTCAAGAAATTCCCAGTAAGTGACACGATTATTTATTTCAATTGCAACTCATCTGATCTCTCTCTGTTTTGTAATCTTGTGATTAATAAAATGAACGACCGAATTGCAGTGGCGTACCCGGCGCCTCCTCCGTCGTATCCGGCGGCGGAGCAATTTAAGGGTCCTTATGTGACGGCTCCGCCGCCCGTTGGGTATCCGGTGAAGGACGCTCCTGTTGAGTACCCTCACCAAACTTCCCAAACTCAATCCAGAGGAGATGGCTTCTGGAAAGGATGGTCAGTATCTCTCTCTCTGATCAACTTTTGTTAGAACAATATTTGCCCTAGATTTTAAAATTAAACCGTTTATCATATTTACTAAATTATGGTTTTTTTTTTTTCTCCTTGTAGCTGCGCTGCCCTGTGTTGCTGCTGGGTATTGGATTGCGTCTTCTGATAAAGCTTTGGCTGAGAATTGAGACACATTCATTTTTAGTTTTACCCGTTTAGTATTCGGGTTATGTATCCGCCCTCTATTATTCTTCTGTATTGTTTTAGCATACTCGTCTTTCTTTTTTCAGAACATTCATTGATTTGATTGTCATTTATTTTTGTTAATAAATAAAATTTCATTACGTGATACATTTGATCCTATTTGCTTTCCTCACAGCAATAATCTATTCAATTTAGTTTTTGTTTTTGAAACTAACCTACGACTACAAAAATCCAATCTCCACCCAAAGTCTTTTTGTAGTCAACTGTCAAAATATATGGGATGGCTGTATGAATATATAACATCAACATCAATAATTTTTACATCGGCATTATTGTATTTGGCAATGTGGCAAACTAACAAAATATAAGAACCGATGTCGGTACTGGTAGAGAGATAGGGGGTTGTACTTAAGGAACCAGATATGATAGAAGAGGGGCGGCAAGGAACGATTTAATTCCAAAAAATGATCAAATCGGTGTTGGCCTTTTAAGCCATAATAAAAAAATAAAAATAAAAACTTAAAAAATATCGTTTTATAGGCATAGTCGGAGTATCGTGGCACTGCCTTCTCAATAGCTCGCCTGCAGTCGTCTTTCTAACTCGAATGTCCCACAACTTGGTTTTCTCCTATTTTATCACCTGTCTTTGCTCAATTATCCCATCACTGCATCTTGCAAAATTGACGAAAATGAAAAATCATAAAAGTACCATTGTTTCTGTGTCAATGACTAAGTTGGTTAAATTATACAGTAGTTGAAATTTCGTAAAATTAACAAAATAGCAACCACATTCAGTTTTTTCAAATATAGTACTTAGTCCAATTTTAAAATTACAGCTTTACCCAAATGATATACATATGTAATACATCTATAATACATCTCACCACTGATATAAATATGTGATACTGAAATGAATATTTGTGCAATATGTATGTCATGTACATCTGATATACTATATAAGTGTTTGATACATAATATGAGTATTTGTGCAATATATATGTGATATGTGTCTAATATATATTGAAATGAGTGTCTGATGTACTAGTGACATTAGTATCTGATATACAAACGGAGGAGAGACAAACAAATTTTACCCGCGAGATCTAGAAAATATAAAAGGGTAAAATTGGAATAATGAAACATTCCAAAATAAGAATTCTAATGTTGTGCTATATTTGGAAATTTTAAAAAATATGTGACATATTTTGAAATACATAAAATATTTTTCATTGAATTTTCCTTAAATTTTATTCAATTGGTTGTGCTCGCCTTTACATAGTTTCAGTTGAGACGTCCTCGTAGTTTAAAAAAAAGATTGTAATGGACGTAGTTTTAATTTAATGTTTATGGTTTTACAAGTTTTAAGTCGACAACAATGGTCCCATCCAACTTTATAAATCACATGTCGTTATCATGTTAAATGTGTCATACTTTTAATTTTTAAATGTACGTGACAACGAAACAATGTCTCCTATTTATAAGTTGGTGGGTGATTGTAATAAATTAAATTTAAAGACCAAGTAAAAAAAAAATGATAAAATAAGTCCATCTTCTGAGAGGATAAAAGATAGTTGAGAGACCATGGATGAGATTTAAATGAAATTGAAACTAAGTTCGAACTTTAGACTAAATATAAATTTTTAGAACAACATAAATAAAATTAAATCGATAGACTTGTGAAAAGAAAAAGTAAATTTAATAGAAACTATTTAAAAGTGCTCATAGAGTGATATTTACCAAAAAGTACATCGTAAAAAACAAAATACGAGAAGACTTCTTACCGTCATCAGCGAGAGTGGACTGTCCTTTTCATCTAATTGTTATTCTGCAACTGCAACTGCAAGTACAAAAAGTTCATCTTCAACACTGCGTTGGCGCCAGAGAAATGAGCCACACAGTTCGCGCGCTTCCCCAAGCTTCCTCCATTATCTATTTCTCTTTCCCACCTGAAAAAGCGAAATTACTCTTAAAGATTTTTGCATTCTTCCACAAGAGCAGTGCGATCGTCCATTTGTTTATGCACAAATTTGATTTCAGCGGCAAAAAAGCAAAAGCTAAAGCAAAAGCTAAAGCCAAAGTACCCATTTCAAATTCACGCCCACACTGCTCACTCTGTTGCTGTTCTATCTTTGTACCTTTTTTCTCCCCAATTCCTTATCAAACTCCAAAGCAACCAAATCATCCGGCGCACTAATCCAATTCTTTTCTTACTCGCAGAGCAATCCAAAAGCTCCTCCCTCCAATTGCCCCACCTCACACTCAAAGCATCTTTCCAGTCTCCAGTTCGTTCTTCTCTACTACATAAACATGATCCTCGCCACTTTCTTCCTCATTTGCGCAAACTCAGGCTCGAGCCCAGCTCCAGAAGATTCGAGGTACAGAGACAAACGCGGTCTTTTGTTCGGTTTAGCTAATCGATCAGCTGGAGGGATTACCAGATTGCTATGGCGAGTTCCAGTGGGACGAAGAACGAGGTGGGTCCGCCGCGTTCGCTGTCCCGGCGGATGACGCGCACCCCGACTCGCATGGTTGAGTTGCCCGAGGACAACTCTGGCATTGACAGTGAGCTCGTGCCATCGTCGCTCGCGTCCGTTGCTCCCATTCTCCGTGTGGCCAACGAGATTGAGCCTGAAAATTCCAGAGTCGCCTATCTCTGTAATCACTTCAACCAACATATTGCTTGCTCACTCTTATGCGAGACTAATTAATTCAATGGTTATTCTTATTGAAGTTAACTATGACGTTTTCATATGCTCTTATTCTTATACATTGTAGCGAATGGCTGAAACCATGATATATTCGATTCTTCTGCTTGAATTTTATGATTTAATTCTTCTAGTTTTTTTTCCCCTCTAATTTATATTGATGGTGGAAATGGGGGAAAGTTGACGTGAACTTCCTCTACTGCTACTAATGCATGCAAGTCTTACCCCTTCCTTTCACTAAGAGATGTGAAAATAGGAACAAGGACAAGTTAGACGAAGTTAGTGTTTTCATTTAGGAAGTCTCTGATTCCTCACCAGGAAGAACGTTTATGAAGAAGCTGAATGATATTGAAGAGGTTGGACAAGTGCCTATCTTCCTTGGATGAAAAAAGAATCGTGTAATGCGAACTGAAGGTGATGAATCTCTAGAGAGCTTCTGCCAACCTCAAAACGTTTGATTAATTTACAATCTGCTGCATGCAATAAAATTCTATTAAGACAGTCCACAATAAGGATAAATAAGAAGGGTGATAGAGAGTCACCTTGCCTAAGGCCCCTAGATGCCAAAAACTTTCCTCTAGGTCTCCCATCCCATTAATACAATGGAGAAATTTGTGGATGAAATACACCCTGTAATATATTTTCTCCATATGCCGTTCGTTTTCAGGTTTGTTCATCTAATAATCTGCTAGGAATATTAGATGGAAGTGGAGCATTTTTTATTTGAAGTCATCTTGTAAATTGAAAGAAACTCTGAGTGAAATATGAAATTATTGAAATATGATATGTTGCTGTGTTATGTTAGATGACATGAGCATATACACAAAGAGGTTAGTTGGCTGATGCTTACCTCGTCATGACCTCCCCAAATGTAACTAAACTTTTAATTTTCTACTTTGATAATGTTTTCTGTCTTTCCCAAATTTTACGTTGTTTTGGCCTTTTAAATCAAGCTGCTGAAGAAATTGAAACTGTGCATCTAACTTCAACTAATGGTATGACCGTATTGAGAGCCATGTTAATATAATAAAAATACATAACCATTGTGAAAGACTGGAGCTCAAGTACTTGGACTTCAGAAGACCTCTAAACTGGCAAGGAGGATTTATCACCTGACTTTGAAATACTTACTGGTTGGCCACTGTCTATTTATGATGTGGCTGATCATTAAGACGTGGCTGGTCTCTTTTTTTTTTTTTTTTATATCCGTGTGTCCGGRYCAGCTTRCGCRCACCTCGACTATTYAYGGGCYAACCRYYTGAYCYYACTACATTTGGTTGACAAGGAAATTCGTAGGATATTAAATCTTAGGTAGGTAGCCACCATGGTTTGAACCCATTCCCTCTAAGTCCTTTGCTATTTACATTGGCCTCATCGACCACTTGGGCCATCCCATGATGGTGTGACGTGGCTGGTCATTAGAATGCACAATTTGACTTTCTTGAACTTTTAGGCTTCTGTTTTTTTCTTTTCATAAGCAGGTAAGAACTTACACTTGTTTTCGTTCAACAGATCCTTTAGACAATAGGCTGTTAACTTCCAACAAGGGAACTTTTGTGGTTCACATTCTGCGCATATTCTACATTCTAGCATTTAACTTTCCAACTTACACATTTGGGAGATCAAATGGTGCTCCGTTTGGATTCTATCAATGAGAAATAACATATATAACGAATATAGGGAGCAAGGAGATGCTCATCTGGTAACTGGTTTTGTGCCTTTGATAATCTCATCCAAATAACATCAACTTACAAAATAGTAGTTTATGCTAAGGTTAACTAGACATTCAAGTTTTTTGCAGTGCCTCATCTGTGATTTTTGAGGCAATACCTACAACTCAAGATGGAAAGGGGTTAAAACTGCAAAAATTTTCAAGTCTAGAGTGTCAGTTAACTGAAGAGGCAGGGATGGTCCATCTTTACCTCCACCCTTCTTCTCTCTCTCTCTGATTTAATTGTTGTGGCTAGGAAAGCTTAGAACAACTCACATCACTTGAATTTGAAGGACTTCAATGATTTTTCTCTCTATTTATGATGTCGATAAGCTCTAGAACACAATAATATGGCTTCATTGAATTATATTGGGATGTATAAGACAAGTTATTCCGTAACGCCAGCATCCAAACCATCAAGTTTAACTGTGTATCAAGTGAATATTGACTTTGTAGATTTTTAATTTGTCTCTTTGTCAATCCCCTTTTCCATTGTACAGGAGTTACATCTACCAAGCAATCTACTATGAATTGAGTTGAAGAACCCATTTCTCATGAATTAAATTTTTTATAGCGTATTCTGAATAGATACTGAAAATCTACATCGATCAACTTCCTTATGCCTTCAATTTTTACCTTTATCCTTGACTGACAAGTGATATGCTTGCAAAGTGTTTCCTTTGCGTTGTCTATAGTTCTGTACAAGCCATGATAGATGCAGTACAAGAAAAATTTACAGCTGG